CATTAAAGGGGACATATTTTTTATTATCTAAAAAGTTGTAAAAGATCTGAAAAATATGCTATTTACTTTTATGTACGTATTTGATTAACTGAGTTTTCTCAATGGTTGATAACAAAAAGGAGTGTACTAATTGTTAAAGGGACGTGTTTATTTCTTAGATAAATTAGTACGGATTGAAGCAAAATAAACTCCCAATTGTAGATAAATATGCCTCCTACGTATTTACTATGTTTCACCTAAAATATCGAGTCCTAACACCAAAACTAGTTCTAACTGCTTACTTAATAATTAGTACTCTACGTATTATATTAACATACATGTAAATAACGTACTTTAGAAACCCTTTCATTAATATATTACAACGTTTTTAATTGTGCATATGGTCGCTTTAAGTAAGCCGTTCAAACTAGTTGTGGTTTTGTCCTTTATAATGTCTCGAAATTTTTAATTGAAACCTTTAGAATAATCACAAGACATATTTTCTCCGTTTTCATAAGCGCACAAGTTGCAGAAAGTAGGACGTATTTTTTTCATTTCATTCCTTACAATTCGACGTTAGTTTTCAACACGAATAAAAAACATAACGCCTTTCAAGTAGTTTTGGCGTTCTAAAAATTGACGACAAATTGAATTAAAATAAGACTTTCAGATTAGGTAATGATATTTTTTTCAAGATCTTGATCTGTTGTTCAGATTAATCTTAGCATCTTACTTTTCCAACCAACCTGAGAAAATCAGACTGCCCCTTTAGAACATATTAAGCCCTTAGTTTGCCATCTTCGGGAATTAATTTGGGTCTAATATATGTAAATATATATTAGAACCTCTTGAACGAAACGCGAATAAATCATTCGAGCATACTTCAAACTAGAAAGTTATCCATATATAGATATCAAGAAAAGACGAGTCGTCATTTATACGCACATTGACTTAAAGGTTCATAGTTCGACATTGAGCTGTGACCACTATTACTGATTAGCTTAACTAAAACGATTCGCGTCTCTTACGATCGGTCAAACGGATAGCAAACATGTAGGTCTACCTTTAAAGTTTCTACAATAAATTAAATCTAATAACACACCATGTCAGATTTGAGATCAATATATTTTGAAGGCGGTGAGATTTAATTTTAGATCAATGAGATGACTGGTGCATTTTTTTTTAAATAGTTCCGATGACTGAACAATGAATGAAACTAGAACTATAATATTTATAAATGGTATTCAGGGTTTCAGTCATTCGTTTAAACATTATTTTACTTGTATAAAACCTTGTTCCCGTAATACTGTGACCAAAATACCTTGAGCCCTTATTACTGTAACCATAATACCATGTGTCTGTATTACTGTGACCACAATACCATGTGCCTGTATTACTGTGACCATAATACCATGTGCCTGTATTACTGTAGCCATAATACCTTGTGTCTGTTTTACTGTAACCATAATACCTTGTGCCCGTATTACTGTGACCATAATACCATGTGTCTGTATTACTGTGACCACAATACCATGTGCCTGTATTGCTGTGACCATAATACCATGTGCCTGTATTACTGTAACCATAATACCTTGTGTCTGTATTACTGTAACTATAATACCATGTGTCTGTATTACTGTGACCATAATACCATGTGTCTGTATTACTGTAACCATTATACCATGTGTCTGTATTACTGTAACCATAATGCCTTGTGCCTGTATTACTGTAACTATAATACCATGTGTCTGTATTACTGTAACCATAATACCTTGTGCCTGTATTACTGTAACCATAATACCATGTGTCTGTATTACTGTAACCATAATACATTTAGACCGTATTACTGTAACCATTATACCTTGTGCCTGTATTACTGTAACCATAATACCATGTGTCTGTATTACTGTGACCACAATACCATGTTCCTGTATTGTATTACTGTGACCACAATACCATGTGCCTGTATTACTGTGACCATAATACCATGTGCCTGTATTACTGTGACCAAAATACCATGTGCCTGTATTAGTGTGACCACAATACCTTGTGCCCGTATTACAGTAACCATAATACCATGTGCCTGTATTACTGTGACCATAATGTCACGCGCCTGTATTACTGTGACCAAAATACCATGTGCCTGTGTTACTGTGACCATAATATCTTGAGCCCGTATTACTGTGACCATAATACCCTGTGCCCGTATTACTGTGACCATATGCCCGGTGACCAAATTTCCTGTGACCAACTTACCTTCATGCCTTCATACAGCCACCGTAAAGGAGAAGAAATGAAATGAAATGAATGGAGTTTTACGTCCTACTTTTCTACACTAAGTAGGCTAATGAAGACCATGCAAGATGCAATGTGAAATTTTACCATAACAGCGGCATTAGCCTGCTCTTTTTCAATTTCCAACTGTCGAGGGATCTTTAACGTGCACACCCTGTAGCACACGGGTGTCAGTTTATTGTCCCATCCGAACGACTAGGAGCTTTTTCATGTCAGCCCCTCTTACCTGCATCACTGACAGGGAGAAACCGGGTTGAAAAATCCGTAGGTATCATCTCGACCTATGCCGAAACCTAGTCCTTCAGTTTAGCATTAATGGAGAAGAGAAAGGCAAGACTGGTATCAATAAATAGTATTGTTTAAACAGTAGCGTTTTATGGGGTATTTCTAAACAAATAAAGGCACGAGGGGTTCTGCACCTCAAAGGGGGTGCTGTCCTGTACAATACTAGTACATTTCTCTCTAACACTCTCTCTAGCCATCAAAATAATCTGCTTAAGCTTGTCGATAGGTCAGAGTTTCTCGGAATAGATTATTTATAGAAATCCGCTAAATCTGATCTCACTTCAATAATTTCAACCAAAGATTTTATTATTCTGCGTTTACGATTATGATAAAGCTACATTGTCTCACATTTTCTCGGAGTGAAACAAAGGGCAGAGAACTGTGTGTAGTTTTTATTAGCTACAGAAAATCTCGTTGTCGATTTCTTTTCGGTAAAATCGATAAAAATGAAAACAACCCCATTCCAGAAATGTCCTGATGAAGATTGTGTAACAGAAACATAAACAAATGTTTACAGCATGATAACTCAATAAGAATCCAATTAATCTTATACATTTATTATAAATTATATATCGAGAGGAATTTTACTACAAGACAAATCAAAGATAGCCTTTAGTTTATATTCCCTTGTACGGACAGCCACAAACCGAATTGGCTGAGTTTCCACACGAGTTAAATTGAATGCTGTGTTTTCACCTGGAACTGTGCCAGAACCGGCAGAAATTGTGAAATTTGTCCACTGGATCCAACGTGTATGGAAATAATCGCCTTCAAATAAGAGAGCGCCCGCATACCTTTTTAGAACACCAAAACTATTGGTAATCTTGGATTGTGTATTATGGTTGTTTCCAAAAGTCACTTCGTATATTAAACTTTCGTTGTTTGCTTCACTGAATAATCCAATTTTACCAGCAGCCTTGGCTTTTACCCACACAACTTTAGAATTTCTGTAATTTAAGTCAGTAAAACCGGTATAAGGAGAGTGAGGATTCAGAGATATAATGGCAGCTCGAAGAGGCAAAATCAAGAAACAGAATCCCAACATGGCGAATTGGTGATAAATCTTCATTTCATGAAATAAGCAAGCTACGATCTTACAATTCTTGTAGATACGATCTTTCCGATACGTCAACAATTCTTAACGATCCGATATATCTGATACGTCAACAGTTCTAGGAGATGCGACCTATTTGGTACTTTTACAGTTCTCTTGAAGATACGAACAAGTTGATACGTTCACAGTTCATTCGATACTTTCACAGATCTTGAGGATCTAATCTATCTAATCCGTTTACAATCTATGAAGATGCGATCTTATGCATCAACTGTTCTTGAGGATACGTTCTATCCGATACGTTCACAGTTCATTCGATACGTTCACAGTTCATTCGAAACGTTCAATAGTTCTTGTAGATACTATCTATCCACTACGTTCACAGTTCTTGTAAATCTGTAACGTTAATAGCGTTAAATGCGATCCATCCGATACGATTTATCCAATGCGTTTGATGATGCGATCTATCAGATTAGATACGTTTGCAGCTCTTTTAAATCCTGTCTATCCGATATTCGTCTGCAGGTTTTGAATATTTTCTGTTCAAGTATTTACATAACCTTTCTTAGAAGTATATATTTGTACAAACAACGGAGAACTTCGCGAAGAAATATTATGTGGTGTTTCGTTGCACAGTCTCTTTTTAATCAATTTTATTAAAAAAACTATTTCCGTTGAAATGAACAAATTAAAAAAAAAACAGGTGAAATATTTATTAGCTTACGATAAGGTGGTTCATATAGGAAGTTTCATTTACTTGTTTTTACTTTTTTTTTTAGATAAAAAGGCTTTTCGAAAGGGTTGATCACTTGAATTTATTTTCTTACGTAAAACGATAAAAAAACACCTTAAAATAGGTGGAGGTAGAGGGAGGGGGGGGGGGGGGCAGTCCTCCGTAGAAATGCCACTGGTCCTGAAAGAAATACATTTACACACCGATCAAAAACTACCCTTACATGTGCCATCTTGGACATCTTGGAATCGAAATGTCGTTTCCAAATAACAAGCAGAACTGTTCTGAAATTAGTTTAGTCTTATGTGAGACATCTTATACAACCAATCTGAGCCCTCGACAGTGGCGGTGCGAGTGGGTGAACAGAAAACTAGTTTGCGCCTCCAATCATTGCACCATAACTTTATATTTTCACAGATTTAGAAATATGATTTTTATATTTCGCAAATTTTCTTTGGAGAACTCTCTCAAACGATCCATGAGAGGCTTCTGAATATGACGCCTGGACAGAGTTGTCGCATTTTTTAAATTCAGCCTCGACATTGTCCGCCTATTGAGTCAGTCTGCCCTTATTTGTGGCGTCGCCACTGTCCCTCAACAAAAATACTGTAAAACTATAAATTACTCATTAAATCGAGGGCCCCGAAGGGCTGTATGTGTGGTGCCCAATCAAATCCAAAAAGTAAGTCATTGCAGTCAAGGTATGAGATGAAGACTTAATGCCTTGATATTGTGAAGATGCTTGTGAGGTGGTAGATTGTGCTTTGCAGTATGCCATGGCCAAAAGAGCCCTAATTAGCTTGAAATTAGTATCGGTAATCTTTGTTGTTGTAGGTATTTATTTTGGACTGATGGAGGAGCGAGTCCAGGTATCGGACGGTCCGGACTAAATGGTGAATCTATGATAAAAATAGTAAGAGAGGTGACCAGCCCTCAAGCCATTACCATCGACTATCACAAAAACAGGCAAGATATTTTAATTTCGTGTATTAATTGATTGTTTGTTTCACCCATTGATTGTAATTGTTGATTGATTGTAATTGTTGATTGATTGTAATTGTTGATTGATTGTAATTGTTGATTGATTGTAATTGTTGATTGATTGTAATTGTTGATTGATTGATTGTAATTGTTGATTACCTGATTGTAATTGTTGATTACCTGATTGTAATTGTTGATTAAATGATTGTAATTGTTGATTAATTGATTTTAATTGTTGATTACCTGATTGTAATTGTTGATTAACCGATTGTAATTGTTGATTAACCGGTTGTAATTGTTGATTAAATGATTGTAATTGTTGATTAATTGATTTTAATTGTTGATTACCTGATTGTAATTGTTGATTAACCGATTGTAATTGTTGATTAAATGATTGTAATTGTTGATTAACTGATTGTAATTGTTGATTAACTGATTGTAATTGTTGATTACCTGATTGTAATTGTTGATTAATTGATTGTAATTGTTGATTACCTGATTGTCATTGTTGATTACCTGATTGTAATTGTTGATTAATTGATTGTAATTGTTGATTAACCGATTGTAATTGTTGATTAACTGATTGTAATTGTTGATTAAATGATTGTAATTGTTGATTAACTGATTGTAATTGTTGATTAACTGATTGTAATTGTTGATTGTTGATGTAGCTTGTTGGTAGTTGTTGATTGTTTGATCATAATTGTTGGTTTGATTGATTGCAATTGCTGAGTTGATGTATTGATTGTTATTGATTGATTGTCTGATCCATTGAGTGCAATTGTTGATTGAATAATAGTAATTGATTAATCTATTGATTGGAATTGTTGATTAACTCGTTGTAATTGTTGATTGGTAGATTTTGATTGCTTGATTAATTGTAAGTAATTTCCAATTTCATTTTGTTTGGTTGATTTCCTTTTTCATTTGTTCTATCATGTGATGTGATATTTAGATGATATCATATAATAAACACTGATTGTAGGTTGTATTGGATATCAAACCATAGTTATGGATGTACAATAGAATCCAGTGATCTAAACGGACGAGAGAGACAGATATTAACGGTGGTGAGAGATAGTCAGATCTTCGACCTGGATATATTGCATGTAAGTTAGCTTTGTAACATCCTCTGATCCAATCATTGTACACTGCATAGCGTTGACCGCCTTTAAGATACAGAAAAGTATTTTTAGCGGTCAATAACGTGCTTCTCTCTCGCCAATTTGAATCTGAATTTTCAAGATTTCTCATTAGTCATAAAGCTCTACTTTGGGTTTCGCTATCCCACAATTCACAGTCGATATCTAGAACGAATTCTTCACGACGCGCTGTGATTTGTGGACATGAACATCAATAGTTCGCGACCTTTTTAAAGTCCAATGGAGACCGACGACAATAATAACGAATCGAAATTTTAATCTGATAGATTGGCAAAGCTACCAACTAGCATTGAGCTCTCGCTTCCATATTTTTCTCAGCTTTCCGTACCAAAATATCAGACTCCCATTCCACTGTCTTATTTCACTTTTTTATCTATGCTCCCTATGGTGCTAGTTTGAATGCACTGCGCCTTGATTGGTAATAAGACCTATATACCGTTATTACAAAATTCGATATACAATGTCTGAAGATTGATTTCAAGAAAATCTTTTCAAAAAATAAGAAAATCTATAGTTTAACTTCATAAAGTCAATACTTTAAAATGTTTTATATTGATTAAATCTTCGACTAAGGAATATACCAGTCTTTTTATGCTGGAATTCTTCACATGGATTATGAGCTTAATTTTGTCGATATGGATCAATTTTTTATTTGAATTTATATGAAGATAGTAACAAATAATATTTTTTAATCATTGATTCGACCAATCAAACTTGATTTCATTGATTGGTGTATTGATTCATTTATTGGTTGTAGACACTCCTCAATCAGACAAATTGATGGGGCGTAAAACTTCATCTCGGTAGTCCAAGAACAATAAGATGTAAAAATCCATTACATATCATTAGAACCATTAGGTACAGAACAGTAGGATATAAAACTTCATCTCATTAGTCCAATAAGACACAGAACAGTAGGATGTAAAACTTCATTTCATTTCATTAGTCCAATAAGACACAGAACAGTAGGATATAAAACACTATTTCATTTCATTAGTCCAATAAGACACAGAACAGTAGGATATAAAACACTATTTCATTTATCATTTCAGAATATAATATTGATGTCAGATGTCCGAAACAATCGACTCTATCTATATAATGTGTTAGAGGGTCGGAATGGAAAAACCGTCTCGAAAGATTGGGGTGGTAAACCACTAGGGCTGAAAGTATTCTCACGTGAGAGGCAATATTACATCGGTGAGAATCTTTTAACATTTACAGTTGCCATTTTAAACTAATACGAACTTCAAGCCATAAGCCAAAATGTATACAATAAGTTAGTCGAGGTTTTATGACTGACCAGCGTACGATCCAGTGGTGGAGCCAAAAGGCCCCGAAAGCAAGATTTTCGGGCAGCTAGGTTAGAAATTCGGTCAACCTCAGATATTCCCTTGGTACGCCACTGGTACGATCCAATCAAATCGCTGCACTCCATGATACCAGAACAGTAGCTATTGCAGTCAAGATATAAGAAGAAGATCGTGATAGCTGGGCATGTTTTAACATGAAGAAGTTTTAAAATATACCAAAATGTTCCAGTGTTCTGATTAAACTGTTGCATTTTGTTGTAATGCATTCCTCTGACAATGAGAAAGACTTAATGTCTAGGGTAAGGACATCACGACATCACACAAGTCATGATGATATCGTCATGTAGCTCAACATTCCAGTATCCCAGTATCCAGTATATTTTAAACATTCAAACTACACCAAGGCAAATACCTCATGCTTAATTTGACAAAAAAGAAGTTGTATTAAACAATGTAAATATTAGATATAAAATAAGATATCCGCTAAATATATCGGATTTCTATGTTAAAGGTGTTAAGTGTTTGAAGTCTATCGATGAATGACATAACTGACTTCAAAGACCGTGGTTACGGCCCTGCATTGTTGAATTTCATCAGTTGGCACATCTTCACAAGTTGGTTCGTTGGTAGATGACAAGTTAACATTCGCTTCCAGCGGATGCTGATATCGCAAACTAGCTAGTTGTTGGTAGTCGTAGTTGTTGGTAGTCGTAGTAGTTGGTAGTTACATCTTCAAAATGCCAAGCGTCGTAATTATACCTTGACTGCAATAGCAATTATCATTGTATCACGAATTGCAACGATTTGATTGTACGCCAGCGAATACAGACAGACAGGACGTAAAGGCTTTAAATATTATGGCTTCTGGTGAGGTATCTGTATTCGTTAGCATACAATCCAATCAAATCGTTGTATTTACAAACTTCCACGATACAAGAATAGTGGCTATTGCAGTCAAGGTATAAATAGGTTGTAATTGTTAAGATGCAGTTGGCGAGACTGTGTTCGCTCAGGGGCGATCAGAAGTAAAAGATAAAAACGTTATTAAGGTTTAAAAGTTTAATATAACTACAAACAGTCAAGTGCACCGTAACAATTCCAAATGTTCTACAAAAGCACATCCAAGAATGATCAAAAGATTATAATTCTATCAATTCAAAGACAAGGTGATTCCAATGATTCTAACGGCTTTTCGATATCTCATAAAACTTTTGACGTGCATCGTCTTGATTCAAATAGATGGCGCTTTAGGGACCGTAACAAGGGATTTTTTTTATTTTTAAAAAATTCCTAAAGTCTTTAAATGACAGCGGTTTAAACAATCCAATCTTTCAACAGAATATAACTGTACAAGGTTTCTGCATTTCTACATATCTGTAAAATAGTTATCCAATTCACAATGGCGACCACATGGAAATAAAGGCTTATGGGATAGCTCACTTCCAAATAAGGCTGTGCTAATTTTATAAAAGTGTGATTATACTTGTCTGGTTCCAAATATGTTTTCACAATGGCATGATGGCATAATTTCAGGATTCGCGTGACAACACATACCCAGGGGTGTATCTCGAGAATTTTGCTGAAAATGCGGGGTTAGTGGGGGGGGGGATATGAGATGTGAGATGAGGCCCGAAGGGTTGAATCCCCTTGAGCTAGGGGTCTGGAAGCCGAATGGATTTCAGATAGACTGAGATGACTTAATTTTTACTTCAAACTGTCATGGCCCAATGGCCTACCCCTTATATATGTCACTACACATGATAGGAGGATGTAAAACTTCACCATCTTTCATTGTAGCCAAACCAGAAGTAAACACCAGCACCGTCAAGTTTTCAATGGAAAGAGGGTCTGTGTTTTTAGGGTCCACACAAGGGATCTATAGGATGGAGAGAGATTATTTTGAGCAGAAAGAGAAGATCTCGTTGGTAGTGGACAGAAACAAGTCCGACATTTTGACCATTACTTCCGACGCCCACACTGGATATTTATACTTTTATGAAAATCAGCTAAAAGTGAGTTTTCTTTTCTAAAATTTAACATCTATTTATTTTATCAAGCAAGTAGGATTCTTAGGGTGACGTCGCTCGATAGTTCCGACATGTCAATCAAAGAATTAGTGTTATTATACTTTTGAAAAATCAGCTAATCTCCACAATGTCAAAATGTAGCAAAACACAATGCAAACAAAAATGTCTGGATCAATTTTATTTGTCTAAGAGTCTTTTGGGGTACCTTGTGTGGTGTTCACTGATACCAGAAAATGGAACCAGTATCCATAGTTGGGACTCAAATTGAGTTATATTTGTCCAAACCATGCGCTCTTTGGTTGCAGACTGTTCACAGGTTCAACACTTTCAACTGGACCCAGCAGTCGGAAGTAGTGACTTTGGCCGTGAATAAAGTAGACGACATGGCGGTTGATTGGATCACCAGGAACCTGTACTGGTCTGACAGTGGTTTAAAACAGATCATGGTGTCCAGGGAGGATGGTCGGTACCCCCACAGGTTGTTCTATGATGGTGTTGACGAACCTCGGTCTATAGCTGTTCACCCGGTTAAAAGGTAAAGTTGTTCCTTAGTGATATTTCTGTCAATCAACGTCGTTAAGACCACGCCCCGTTCATTACATGGGTAGGTTCACAGCTGTTACTTACTAGACATTCTGCTACTCAATGCCATTTTTATCAATAAATAAAAGGGGACATGGTTAACTTTATCTAAATACCTTCCCATTTTGGGAGCAACTGTTGCGGTTGAGATTTAAAATGCGAATGTGCTGAGGCCTTCCATGGATCGTCGGAGAGGCTTTTCCCCAGTTAATTTGGTGCATTCTGACACACATTTTAGGGCTAGAATGTATAACAATCATATTTAATATCCCCTGTATCCCTACTGGCGTCGCCATTGCTCAGTACCTGTGAATTTCAGGTTTTTATTTTGGTGCGATGCTGGAGTGGAACGACCAGGAATCGAGAGGAGTTATTTAGACGGTTCCAATCGGACTATTATAGTGGCCAGAAACAGAGTACAGAGACCTCGGGCTCTTGCTATTGATTTTAAAGATGATCGGTAAGTAAATATTTATGTAAAGATATTTCTTGAGGATAATTCGAGCTTACTCTTCAAAGGGGAATAGTGCCGGTTTCATGGTTTATGACCAAGGCAAGCCTATAATCATCTTATCCCGAAAACGGGTTTTATAACCGGAAGTATGATGAATGGGGACAAGGTTTGGCCTCTGATGTATTAATCTTTTATCAATATTTTGAAGGGAATTTTGTGTTTATATTATTTTAAATTGAGGGTGTAAGTTCATTAATTTCATTAGGTTATGGCAAAAAGCAGACCTATTTTCAAAATTGATTCATCACAAGTACATCCATCTTCACAGTGCCAAACTGCGTCCTATACCTTGACTGTAATAGCAATAATTTTGTAAATGCAGCGATTTGATTGAATCGAACATTGTTCCATTCCAATTTTCAATCAGACGTCTGTGGTTCATGCTATCCCACTAAAACTAAATGTTTGGTGGCGTCACTAATCGCGAAGGACATATGTGATTCAAGCACATTTGCGATTAGTGATTTTTTGCTTGAATTGCAGGAACCACAGACGTCTGATTGAAAATAAGAATAGTGCAAATTGATGCTATCAGTGCCCTACATACACATATTTTTATTTAGGAAACCTCTTTTCAATCCCTTTAATTCAATCCTTATGGTATTTAGGTTGTATTGGACAGATGGGATGGTGATTCACTATGGTAAACTTGATGGTACTGGTCAATTCTGTCTACACAGTTCAGGAAGGTCTACAGTTAGGTCCTTATTGGTCCTACAGGTTAGAATACAAAGAAAAGTCCCTATATATTAGCCTGTATAATATTTTAGCTATACACGGTCACGAACATCTTCACAATGTCAAGCTATCACGAATTTCGTCTTATACATCAACTACAGAGCCCTAGACAGAAAGAGTTTCTGTCGATGCCTCTAATTGGTTTTAATCTCTACCGTACAGTCCAATCAAATCGCTGCAGTTATAAACTTCCGTTATATAAGAATAATGGCTATTGCAGTCAAGGTATAAAATGAAGTTCGTAATAGTTTGACATTGTGAAGATCGGTCACAAATTGATTTGCACTAATGGTGTTTTGATATAGGATGCCGATCCAGATATAGATCGATGCCTATTTTTAATTAAATTTAATTTGTATGGAAGGTTTGATAAAGCTCTCTATTGTCAGTATTTGATTATTTTTACGAGATAACTATTTTCAATTAGAATCATTCCATAGCGATAACAATCTCTTTTCTGGTTGAATAATGAAGTTTCGTAGTAATTGCTTGCCATGCTATCGATGAAATGTATCAGTTAAGTTATGGGTACGGACCACACATCACTGAAAATGACTTCGTTCGATGGAGTTATCTGCCTGTATTTTATCTTGAATAGAATTTTATATTATGGACTGATGTAATGGGCAGGCTTCATACCTCAGATAAGGAAAACGGAAGTAGACATGACAATGTAATCGAGACTAATATTAAAACTAGTTTTATTGATCTGGTCTACCATGATAAATCAGCCCAGCCTATTTCACTGAGTAAGTATTATCACGATTAAGAACACAAGTTATATGGATACACTACTTCTAGTTTTATTACATACTACATTTCGGAACACATACAGGTAACGTTATCAAGTTAACGTTATCAAGTAAGTATGCGTTTCGAAACGTACGTAATGTAATAAACCTAGAAGTAGTATATCCATATAACTTGTATTCTTAATGTTTACTTTCCTGCTTCTATATGTTATACAAAGATTATATTATCACGATGGTTACATACCGGTGTAAATCTTTCCAATCTCACGGTATTACGAACTGCTACATATTCCTTGGAGCATTTTTCTTGTATCTAGGAAGTAAATGTCGCGATTTGAATGGACTGTACGCTAGTAAAACAGCCTATCAGAGCCATCGACAGTTACAGTCATACCTTTACAGTCTTTCTAACGTGGACTATGATTGGCTTTATTCGCTAGCGTACAGCAAGTAAAAAGATGCGTTCGTAATGCCATGATGTAGTAAAGGTGGTGTGCCGTAGGGAAAATAGTTTTAGTACCTCAGAATAGAAGTATATTAGTCAGGAAACCGAAACATTAACAGACAAACTGTCTATTAGTCATGACACATGGTGTGGAATTTGCACGAAGACAACTGTATCTATATACATATATACCTTCTTGTATTATACTTCTTCATTTCTCCTGATGATGACAATGTAGATTGTTGAAACGATGCGTGCAATAAAAGACTGAGGAGTAGTATACCATGAAATTGTGTTCCGTTAATGATATCTATGGAAAGTCTTGAAATTGAAGGAAACATGAGATCAGAGGCATTGTTGTGCAAATTATGGCGACTGTTGGTAGCAAATATGGCGGACCAATTGCCGACAGACAGTCTTGATATACCGGTATTTTTTTTTCACCAAATGATTACTTAAAGCGTAATTAGAACATGATAGCTTTAAGCTTATTTTTTTTACCTTTAATCAGATGCATGTGGAATAAAGAACGGTGACTGTGAACACTTGTGTCTACCATCAGCTACTGGCAGGACTTGTGCTTGTTCTCTCGGATATTGGAAGATTAACGAAACCAGGTGTATTTCTGGTAAGATTCTCTACTCTCTTGTAAGGTAACAGGGGTAAAAGCCGACATTGGGCTGAATCTCAGAAGCACTGGCACAGGCATTGGTATGTTTTACCTTAAGGATGATTCTAATTGCCTAGCAGACGACAATCCAACTCGCTACTGACTAAGCTATTCTACTATAAGTGGTCCACCCCCTTCATACGCCACTAGTGAGAGGAAAGTCACAAGATAAAAATCATTTCAGGCGTTGGTGATGAGAAATTCTTATTGTTTGCGGATCAACGACAAGGCGCCATATTTCAACGACCGTTATTCCTGAATGAGTACTATGCCATACCATTACAGGGGGTAAAACAACCGAGAGATGTGGTTTATGATCCAGTCAAGAAATTCGTAAGTTGAATATTATTGCTTTATCCATACTTCTTCGGTAAATATAGACAGAAGTGGGCATCCTTAAAATATAAAGAGTAGTTACTTGAGTAGTAGAATGGTGGAAGATTAAACTGTGACTTTAACTAGCCAATGGAGTACTGCTTCCAGCTCTACATTGCCGTAAAATTATGATACCAATGCAACGGTGGCGTTTTTGGGAAACATTGGGTGAATGGGCGAGCAAGGGCAACAGAATCTTCCAGGGGGTGGGAGGGGGCACGGGCAATTCTGCAAAATGTAAACAAAAATTGAAAGTTGGGGGTGCCAAAGCCGGTCCAGTCCCTTTCCTCTCAAAGTGTGCTGGAGAACATTGACTATAACCACTTCAGTTCTCCTTCAAGGTCTATGTACGGTTTAATGTCACATCTGTTCTATAATTTATTTTTATATTAGATATATTGGAGTGATGTGGAAGCTAAGACTATCAGTAAAGCGAGAATAAATGGCAGTTTTCAGGATATTGTTTTCTATCACCATACATATTATGACTATTCCAGTATCAGTAAGTATTCCAGTATCAGTAAGTATTCCAGTATCAGTAAGTATTCCAGTATCAGTAAATATTCCAGTATCAGTAAGTATTCCAGTATAGTATTCCAGTATCAGTTAGTATTCCAGTATCAGTAAGTATTCCAGTATCAGTAAGTATTCCAATATCAGTAAGTATTCCAGTATCAGTAAGTATTCCAGTATCAGTAAGTATTCCATTTGAAAACATTGTATACATGCCTATACTACATAGATTCTAACAGATTAACCTGGCTTAAAGTTGCATGGTATCTCTTTCCTTTACTTGACTGCAATAGCCTTTCTTGTATCACGGAATGCTTCGATTTGATTGGATTGTACGCATGCCGACACAGCCAATAAGATTTTTCGATAGAAAGAATTTAGACATTATGGCTTATTGTTTATTCGCTGTATTCGCTAGCGTACAATCCATTCAAATCATTGCATCAATTTCTGATAAAAAGGAAGGTGGCTATTGAAGTCAAGGTATAAGACGTGGTTCATAATATCCTAAAATTGTGAAAATTCCCTTTTAGGTAATTTTCAAACTGTAGTAGGCCCTATACGTTATATAATATATATACAAATATGTACTGTTAAAATTACAGTTTTCGGCACCCTGTGATACATTTTTTTTTATTTCAGCGCCCTACACATTAACCCTGGACGCCAAATCTCAACTGCTGTACTTTGTGGATATTTATAAGGACTTGGTGGTAGCTGTCAACCTCAGAAATAAACAATATGCTAAAATAATTGAGGGCGATCGATTCGTAGCCTTTCAGAATATCAAAAATGTGGCTTTGGATCCGACCAGAGGGTAATGATTATTTCTCAGTCTCCCAGAATAGACAAGCCAAGTCTACACAAAATTGGTATACATTTTCCAATTTTCGATTCTTGATTATGCAAACAGGTGTTGTGTGCAATATAGCTATGTATAAACATTATTTGCCTTTTAGAGAACCAGGTTTACTAACGGCCTATTTTCTTTTTTGTCTTTATTGGAAGGTTCCCAAAATCATTTCCATATTAGTTGGATGAGCGCTGGGTTGGAAGAAGGTAGAAGGTGAATTGACAACTTATTAACCATAGCTAAAGATTTCGTTTTATGAAATTTTAATATTTTTAAATATCAGCTTCCGAGAAGCATGCGGTAGGCAATGAGGTAAATTGATATTGATATAAAGATATTATCAATTAACAGAATGATGTACATATCATGTCAGCATAAAATGATCTCGGATAACAAGACCAGATTAATTGGTGCCATTTATTCAGCGACAATGACAGGGAAGAATTTAACAGCCTTTCATATTGGACCTGGTGAACCTAAAGGTCTGGTAGTATATGAGGATGGTTAGTGTTGAATTTTCATTCTATTTCTCTATTTTAATAATGTCGCAGGACAGTGAGGATGTGTGAAATACGCTCTGAACCAGTTGCCTTAAGTAATTGATGATGATAATTGTCGCATTATAGCTCTCTAAAGGTTCCTTCATACAATAGCGATTATCAGTTGTGTATGTTGCGAATAATGAAAATAGTCACAAGTATCGAACGCAACTCACAACTCAGTTGCATGAAGAGTTGCGTTCGAAACATATGACCACTATTCGCAACCATATGCAACTTTGGTGTGGGGATATCTTGAGAGACCGAACATTTGATCTAAAGTTTGGTAGGATTCTCTAAAACAAATGCATAATACATTAATTTCTTATAAATATTCGCGCCTTCATAACTATAATAGATATAGAAAACAGACAATATGAGGCAGGTAATTTCCTCACAAAAATGAAAAATGGAAGATAAAACGCCGCTAAACATTCAAAATATATTATATATTCATTTTATCAGAGGTCATATGGATAGACAGTCAAAAGAGATATATCAAGGGCAAGGCCACAGTCAACGGATCGGTTTATGACTTAAAACGGATTACTGAATCCGGTCAGTTACATGATATCACCATATCCGATGGTTATATATACTGGACGGTTTTATCTGGAAAACCAATAAAAAGGTGGGTTTGTTATATAGGTAGCAGGAAATATAAATAGACCAAGAACCGCAAAACGAAATCCAAAACATCATAACGACAAAGCATTGGTAGCAGCTAATGAACTGTTCACATGAGGAAGTGTTACACTATATTTGTTCAGATTGAAAGAAAACTGATATTGGTTCAGGATATTGAGGCAAAGATTCAAAATTTAACCCACCGACTATTTGTTTTAAATTTAAGGTGTGGAGAATTTCCTATTTTTGATCAAGTGACTGAACAATCAGGCCTAGTGTTTTTTAATGAAACAATTCGTAAAATAATGAAGTTTCTGGATGTACCTTTTTGTCTACTTAGCACAGTATGATTGAGTTGTGTATCAGAGCAATTACATGGACAAATATTGCAGGTTACATTGTTTGAAACTCCAATTTATTGGTGATAAATACTCTACCTAAAACATACAGTTGATTTTTATTTCAGATCACCGTTGGATAACTTGACAGAAACAGAGACTCTGGGTTGGGACAATTTCTATAGAGTCCAGAGTATTGATTCATATACAGGTGATACGCTCAATGGTAGGTATATAAATCGTGTTATTCACACAACTTAAACGAAAGTCTGTGGCGTTCATTCTAAGTGACAGGGGGATAACTCCATTGAATAGTGTCGATTTATTTGAATAGTAGTCTGTAGCTTTGTGGTAATTTTGTTAGATTTTTAAATAACTTTGGAACTATCACAATATGCTAAGAACCTGGGTCAATGCTCTCGAGGCTCTACTTCCTACAAATTCATTGCGAATTATAAGAGTCATTAATTTCGAGGGTTTTTATCAATATGAACATGAAAATATCAGAGTAGATTCTACTTTTGTCCCTTTCTTCTTTCAGAGACCGAATGTTCAATTGACCAATTCAAGTGTCGGTTTATGTGTGTCCCGTCCCCCACGGGCCATGAGTGTGTCTGTACGGCTGGTAATCTGATGAGGAGGGGTAACTGTCAGTATTTCAGAACACAAAAGAGCGTAAATTGGAAGAAAAGTAAGATATAAAGTTTTTAAGACTTTATTAAAACCCTCTTGTAAATTTTATTTTCAATGAAGGTCATTCAGAGCACTGAACATACCCTGTGTTATTTTTAATGAAGGTCATTCAGAGCACTGAACATACCCTGTGTTATTTTTAATGAAGGTCATTCAGAGCACTGAACATACCCTGTGTTATTTTTAATGAAGGTCATTCAGAGCACTGAACATACCCTGTCTTATTTATATGATTAATTTACGTATCTCTAAAAGAGAGCAAATTATATGCAGTTTTTATAATTAGAATAGAAACTAAAACAGACCAGACTGTTGTGTTCAAGGTTTTGATTGCTTTGTATAATGACATCAGGAGGAACTGAAAGGAAATGAAACGACAGATGCGGATGTAAAGCTTGAATTTCTTAAAACAACTTATTGCACTCAGATAGACTAGCGCTTGCAAACACGAGATATTTTCATGTCATCTTGTAGTAGCCAATTACATTTGTGTATTTTTCAGAATTTTGTCTGACAAGGGGAGTAAACAATGGAACCCTGGTGAATAATGGACGGTCCAGATATGTACCAGTGGGCTATAGATTAGAGATACTGTGTAATCCAGGATATAAGATAAAAGGCAAGATGACAGCAGAAGATAACAGGAGGGGTTATGTATTGTGTATTGGAGAGGGCAGTTGGAATAAACGAGCTGTTTGTGAATTTGGTACGTCGTTATATCACAGTTTAAAGATCCAGATGAAGCACACAATATTCCTTTAGCGACATTTAGGGGTAGAGATCACATTAAATAACACAATTTTATGGTATACTACTCCTTAGTTTTATTACACACTACGTTTCATCAATCTACATTGTCATTTAACAATAACTTATATTTTTATTTCTAAGCGAAGTTTTAAGTATAATTCAGACTTCCCCGTCCCTAATATCTAAAGTGGTGCTATATTGTAGAAAATTGTATGAAAAATGTAATGCCACAGAAACAATTGATCGGGACAATTAATGTGTCACAAACTATACGTTTTTATCCAACTACAATATATGCAACATTTCATTTTGTACTCTACTGCCCACGAATGTGCCTGGTATCCAATCCTAGTCTCACTCTCGATATACATGTATAGAAATATTGGTTTTATGCTGATACGATTTGGGTACACATAAAAAAACAGGTTGACTACAGACTGAAAAGATGTTTCTTAGACAATCTAATCAAATGAGATGTATTCTTAATTTCAGCTTTACTCTACGAGATCCATGGAACAAATAACCGTGGTTACGTAGAGCTGACAAGATCAACCTACTTTCTCGTCCCACCCCGAGTCAAGAGATTAAACGTGATCTGTATCGGAGGTGGTGGTGGAGGCTTCGATTCTAATTATAAAGAATTTAAGAAGAAAGACAAGGCTGGAGACGGTCAGGCGTCAAGTTTCAGTGACAAGTTGATTAGTTTGGGAGGCGAAGGCGGCAGACTCTGGCGAGGTGGGTTGACATTCTTTCTCTTATAGGCACGTAATCATCTACCAAAAATGGTTTTAAAGGTCCATATTTACATTTTATATACAAATGGATGGATATTCACATAGAAAACATCTTCTGTAGTACAGGTGGTGTTTTTCGAGGTGCAACTGGACACTGGGGTTTGTTAAGGGGTAGTTAATCCATGAATGGTCCTATAAATTTGTTGTAATCACTTGATCAAGTGAAGCAAAAAAAAAAGCAAGCCTAGATCTGACGTGATGTTTCCAATATTTCAGGTGGAAACGGAGGCATCGGAACAGTTTTATTTGGTGGTGAGGGAGCTAGTGCCAACGACTGTCACTATGGGGGTGCGGCAGGACAGCTGACCCAGAAGAAGGGCTGCTATCAACCATCAACGTTCTGCTTGTACTGTGGTGCTGGGGGTTCTAGGGGCAAAGGCGAATGCCCACTGTGTCCCTTAGGATTGGAGGGGGGTTGCTCGGGTCCTCTGAGCTCCAACGCCACTAAACATGCAGGATGTAGTTATGGGGGAGGGTCCAGTGGAGGCTCGGGAGGGGGAGGGGGTGGCGCTGGGTACTCCAGAGCTTACGTTGACGTGACCCCAGGGGAAATGGTGCTAGTAACCGTGGGAAAAGGAGGTGCCCCGTCATACAAACCCGCGGGGGACGGGATTGTGGTCATCAGCTGGAATGGGCGTATTGAAGATTTTAAAACGGACAGAATAATGATGTATGAAGAATCTAATTTTGAAGATAAATCTTGCTTGTAAATAAATATATATTCCTATCTGTTGGTGTATTTCGTGTATTAATTATTCTTCGTTTATTGGGGTCATTCTACAGATTATACAGCGAATCCTTTGAGTCTTTTCAAATATGGCGGAGCGCCTCGCAGCCCCTAAAGTAAGTTTTTCGGGCAAAAATCTCATAATTAGGTAAGAAATTTGGCCAATCTCAGATATCTCGACTTTTAACATGTCTGTAATTCTCTTGGAGAACCCTCCAGGAGAGGCTTGCAACAAGACACCCCCAAAGAATTTTGAATTCAACTTCGGAAAGTTGTCCCCCCATTAGTCGGACTGCTCCCTATCTGTACACCACAATCTCGGGAGGTTGAAGCCGCCACTTCTGGCGGGGCTTAGTTTATATCGAAGTGACAGTATGTATATGTATAAATGACTGCAGCTTTCCGCACAGATCATTAATGATATTAGGCCCGATCTTCTCGTGGGAGCGTCAACAACCATATCATCTAAACCAGACAATTTCACCGAAAGTTTACATAATCAAACACAGCTTAGTCAGTCATGAAGTTGACCTCCACTGGCGACTATCGCGTGAAACACCAGATAATACTTCTCTTTTGAGTCCACTACTATTCTACTTTTGCTCTTGAATTTGCTACGAGAATGTGAACAACGGACTGTTTCGTCTGTACAGATTTGATTTTCAAAACATTTATGCCACAGTGTCTAAACGTATTGCTTTTACTTGCGAGACAGTCTGGGTCCTAGCTTTAATCCTTGTGGGAAATGATACGATCTCTTTGCCACTTTGTACATGAAATTGCTTCTGCTTTGTAATAATTTCACCTACTTTTTCGGCAGTTTCCAATGCATTAGAACACTTAAGCAATGGCACCTTCCCCTATATAAGCCCATGTCCCCATCCCTACAGACCAACCCCTCATGAAAAGATGACATTTAATCATGATTTATTTATCTTTATTTTTGCCTTTAGTTGGTTTGACTGGAGCCTCTTCTTTTTTGTCTTTGACTCCTGTAGCTCTAGTGTAGATAATCTGGGTATGATGTTTACATACCAGTCGAATCATTTCTGAAATATCGAATAACACATTTAATTTCTAACAAATATCTATAATTTTAAACTACAATGAGAACTTATCCTAATGAAGGTATCGTATTTTACTCCAGTCATACATTTTCCGTTTTTGAGACAAAGATACGATTGTCACTAGAAAATGCTGAATCTGTCCCTTGAAAGAGATTTCCCTATATAACGAACCCAAGCACACCTTACAGCTGCATTTCATGGCCTCCTTTTATCACAAAGACCCTTAGATATCAGCAGATAAGGCAATAGGGACATCATAAACATTTAGTTGAAGTCTAACAGCAAAATCCAGACATGACTGAAAATTTTAATTGCGCTAATATTTTTCCTAAAGATGAAATGTTCAGAAAATCTTTTAAAATTCTACTACTGGAGGCAGATGGGATACCTTGTATCAGGAGGGTGTTATGTTAAATAAAATCAACCATCAGCCAGCCCCAATTTCAAAAGATAAGATTTAGTAAACAGAAACCTACTTTTCTGGTGTAATTCCCGAAGTGCAACTTTAGCTAATGATCCACGAATTTTCAATCTTTCTGAAACAACCGAGGGAGTGATCAGCTTGTAACTGGGAACTTCCTTATAAAGTTTATCATACGTAGCTTTATCAAACAAAACCAAATTGTTCAGTTTGTCTCGGACTTTTCCTTTCGACCATTTCTGGAAAAAAAAACAAATTAAGACTGATCCAGGGCTCTGATTGGCTGTATTTGTTAATCAAATCAAATCGCTGCAGTCTGTGATACAGCGAGAGTGCTATTGCACGCAGGGTATAACCAGCTTGTAATATCTTGAAATTATTAAGCTGCTCTGCTGGATGTTACTCGATTCAATACAAACCAAATTTCATACTTACATAGTTCATATGTAACTGAACAAATATAAGGAAATTTATTTTAGATTTCAGATCCCTATATCAATGTACAATGCATTGGAAGATATTTCTCAAACAATAAAGAAAATGCAATAAACATATAGGCTACCTTCTTTTTGGCCTTTCCTCCTCCTTCCTTCTTAGGTTTAGCTGAAGTGGACTTCTTAGCCCCGGCTTTGGGGTCTTGCTTCTTTGCCCCCTACAATAAATATAAATTTTGTTACGATTTATCGAGTATTTCCAAGCAATAACTTTTCTCCAAAGAAGTTGCCTTTTAAAAATTCTAATAGGGCCGGCCTCCTACACCGGAGGACTTTTCCAAATCTTATTGGACAACAACAAATTGCCTTAGCTTCTACCAACAAATATTCAATACAAAATAGGTTCAAATGTAGGGTGGCAGGGCATAGTTACAGAAAACTCTAATCAAATGGATTAGTAACGCCTAGAAGGGACCATGGGTTCAAACACGGTTCATAGCCCAAACATTGTACGGCCATGTTTGTTTCATTATGCAGCCAACACGTGCGATTATTTTGGGGTCAATTTCTCAAGTAAATCAGGACCAAAGCGAAATAAAATTTCGCACAAACATGGATCAAAGATCGGGCAAGAATTTTGATGGGTTAATTTTAAGAAGATCAATAGAATTATTGGAGAAAATTGAGAAATATTTGTCTCAAATCTTTGCTACCAACCATGCTCGACAAATGTAAATGAAAAAGAGGCTGAACGGAAGTGCGCGTGGTCTGACTTCAGTCAACGAAAAATAAAATCACAAAAATATTTCATGAGAAAAAACTTTGAAATATTTCCTAAAACGGGCTTTTTAACAAAAATAACGACTAAAATGCAAACACAATATTTTTCATTTTATAAAAAATCGTCTTTTGGTAGTATTTTAATGATCTAAGCGACATACGCTATGAGACTGCGCACTGATGTATGTATTGAAAGATGAAATCGAAAGTATAGATTTAACAAAGAAAGTTTCAATCATAACGGTAAAGGGTTATTGGGGGGTTTATATCAAAAGGTTCCTCTTAAAATTGATATTAGGGCACGGCAGCTTCAATCCCAACTAAATGCAATCAAATCTGTACAAGATGGTTGCTTAGAGTTGATTTATTTTAATTTCTTTCTTTTCCCTCTGTTGGTCAGCCAACACAAAAAGCCTCACAGTTAATGCACTTGATCACTGTACTGAGTCACGAGATTTAGACTGGACCTGTCATGATTATATTTAGTAAATAGGCTTACGTAATGCCAGGGGTTATTTTGGATAGAGTACGTAAGTGATTTAGAGCAAAAGAAACTCAATAAGCTAACAAGATTCCTAAACTACTAATAGCAATACATTGAATAAATTGCTTGCTGTTAGAAATTCTAGATTGAAAATCAATTGTAATATCATTTCAAAGCCTTTTTGCTGAAGATATGTTCAAAAGATTTGGAAGTTTATGAAAAATTTGTATGTGCAGTGTATTGGACAGGGCTGGATTACTTGCATGAAATGTGTTGTTGTCAATGTCACTCTTTTCATCTAAAACTATCCACAGATTATGAGTAATTGGACTCAATTCATACCTACTTGGAGCAAAACATCTTCTGATAGCTATTTGGATGTTAGTGTGGAAAATGCCCATAAAATATGGCCTAGATTTTCTGACTTTATTCCAACCAACAACAGTCAAAGGCTGGACAAAAGCAGACCTTTCAGAGTAATACCTACCAATTCTTGCTTGCGACTAGTATATTGGTAGTGTTGTGGATATCTATATGAAATATTTATCTATATGATCACATCACATAGTCTAAAATGTTATAAATCTTACTGAAAATACATTATTTCACAGATGATTTTTGTTCAAAGAAAAATGCTGAACTTCTTGTGTGCTCACTATTTTTTTTTAATTTCAGTTGACAGTCTGTAAAACTTAGTTTAATGAAAATAAAAATGGTTTAGTTGAAAATTAGAAAATTGTAGTTGGAAGATGGGGGACACTTTTAAAAATACCATAGAGAATGTAGCCTGGGGTTTTAAAGACTGTGTGTTTGGAATGGTAACATGTTACAGATTGGACACAGAATTCAACCAGGCTGCAGAGTCTCAGAGGCCTGCCCCAGAGCCCATGACAACTCTTGCCAAAAGACGAGCAGAGCGTTTGAAACACACAGAAGTGGTAAAAGAGAGGCAAGTATACACCCAATCTAATTTATTAGATCACAATTTCGTACCTTTTTTGAGATCAAGGAGATTAGTGACATCAACAAACACTTAGTTTTAGTGGAATTGCAGGAACCACAGACGTCTGAATAAAATTTGGAATGTGCAAATTGATGCTATCAATACACATAAAAAATTTTGAAAACCTCTTTACAAACCCTTTAAAAAATCAAAAAATGAAAACTGTAATTTTAATTTGATCGGTATACACCACACATTTGCAAGTTATTTGTTCAAAAAATTTATCAGAAATCAGTCGTAGAAACCTTGACATGTGAAGGCTGCCCACCATGAAGAGATCTATCTTGTTTCTTACTAATTTTAAGGTTAAAATTGACAATAAGAAATTTGAGGGATGTCAAGATCTCTGTACAGTAAAACCTGAAGACACCCTGCAGAAGAAATTTAACCTTATCCACTGACTCTGTCGGATAATTTTGATGGCTAGTCATGTTGTGGTGGGTCATAGAGACGTTTACCGTTTTTTATGGAATACGGCAAACCTACAGTTAAGCCCCTTGACATAGCCTGCTAATTTTAGTTATAAAACTTGGAATGGTATAATATATTTGTAAATGTTGTATATTTTAGTGAACCAAAGATTATGTATAGAGTGTTGATATGTTGTGCTTTTAATGGTTTTATTAACTGGGTAAGTTACAGCCAAGATTTTTATCCTTTCTACATCAGCAATTGATTTAAAGATGGGTTTCCTTATATTTTAGTATCAAATTAAGCAAACTATTTGATTAATTGGTGTTTCTAATGAATTATCATGTATTCTTAATCATATCATTATGTTATTTTTGCATATAATTAAGAGTTTTAACCAATCATAAATGTCCATGTATAGTCTGGATAAACACAAACAGGCTTTTTGACCTTTCTTGATCGGTCACTCATTGGAATTCTGCTGGTAATTCTCTTCTAATTAAGCTAATAATGAATTAATCATGGACATGTGAGACAAACTGGTATTTTTCCAAGTCATAAGAACACCTCTACTTTTTTTTCATATTAGTATTAGCATTTTTATTTTCATAAATGAAGTGTATTATTTCAGTTCAGTATACAAGTATTTTATTATGCTGTATTGCCCTGTATATTATATATTATATTATGTATTATTTCAGTTCAGTATACAAGTATTTTATTATGTTGTATTGCCCTGTCTCTTATATATTATATTATGTATTATTTCAGTTAAGTATACAAGTATTTTATTATGTCGTATTGCCCTGTATATTATATATTATATCATGTATTATTTCAGTTCAGTATACAAGTATTTTATTATGCTGTATTGCCTTGTATATTATATATTATATTATGTATTATTTCAGTTCAGTATACAAGTATTTTATTATGTCGTATTGCCCTGTATATTATATATTATATTATGTATTATTTCAGTTCAGTATACAAGTATTTTATTATGCTGTATTGCCCTGTATATTATATTATGTATTATTTCAGTTCAGTATACAAGTATTTTATTATGCTGTATTGCCCTGTATATTATATATTATATTATGTATTATTTCAGTTCAGTATACAAGTGTTTTATTATGCTGTATTGCCCTGTATATTATATATTATATCATGTATTATTTCAGTTCAGTATACAAGTATTTTATTATGCTGTATTGCCCTGTATATTATATATTATATTATGTATTATTTCAGTTCAGTATACAAGTATTTTATTATGCTGTATTGCCCTGTATATTATATATTATATTATGTATTATTTCAGTTCAGTATACAAGTATTTTATTATGTTGTATTGCCCTGTATATTATATATTATATTATGTATTATTTTAGTTCAGTATACAAGTATTTTATTATGCTGTATTGCCCTGTATATTATATATTATATTATGTACTATTTCAGTTCAGTATACAAGTATTTTATTATGCTGTATTGCCCTGTATATTATATATTATATTATGTATTATTTCAGTTCAGTATACAAGTATTTTATTATGTCGTATTGCCCTGTATATTTTGGATGATAGATTCTATATCAGGTAAAACACAGTTTCTTTACAATCTGAATTTTAACAGGCTTCTCTCCTTGATTTTGATCTTTTAAAACCTGTTTTGATAGGAAAATAAACCAATGCCCTGTGTACGTTAAAGATCCGTTGACAGTTGGAAAGAAAATATATGTGAATGGTGCTGTCTAGGCATTTTTTGAGAAACAGCAGGGGAATGCTTGGCTTTATTAAGAATCTGTTAATTTTATATTCATTATTATTTGCCCTATCTCTCTAGGTGTGTCTGAGAGCGGCGGTGTCTCAGCGCTCGCTCGCTGACCTGAAGGTCCAGGGATCAATCCTGGTAGATGATACCTTCAGATTTTTCAACCCCATGTCCCTTTGTTGTTTTCCTGGCAAAATTTCCTCATTGCTCACTGCATGGCGTTGCCTGTTATCATTAGCCCAATTAGATACAGAAAAGTAGAAAGTAAAACTCTGTTCATTTTATTTCTAGGTTTGTCTGGTGCCAGTGAAACTAAAGGATCCTGGTTGGCTGTGATTTTATCTTTTACGTTTGATGCGTTGTGGATTCTTCCATTGTTTGTTCTGTCTAAAATACTTAACTGTTTCTGGTTTCAGGTGAGTAAAAATAAAAACACAACTTTTTTAAAAGCTGGAAAAATTAGTATTTTTGAATTTTCATAAATTAATACCACATGGTGTATCCTATATGTTACTAGTCGTTCAGACGGGGACGGAAACCGAGGCTGTAACAGGCTGTGCATGTGAAAGATCCCCCAATATTGAAGAGGAGTAAGCTAATGCCAATCTCCTGCCAAAATTTCTGTGCAGAAGATGTAAAACTCCATTCATTTTATTTAAGTTTTTTCTTACCCTCCAGTTAATATGGAAATGTTTATATCACTGTTAATAATACACCCTTCCCCCTTCTCCCTCAACTGTGGCAGGCTTATTTTTTTCTGGTAATATTAAAAGGTAGCATAGAAATCATTATGAATTTCATGTCTTTTACAGGATATAGCAGATGCTGTGTATGTAAAACGTCATGGTAAACCTCAACTACCAAATATATCAACTTTCGTAGCTGATATGTCTTTTAGTTTGTTTTTACAAGCTTTATTTTTAATTCAGGTAAGGTCCAGTTTTTTAAAGGGACAGGTGTGCTATTTTGGGAGGTTGATTTTAGTTTGGAATATGTGTAAATAATATTCAGAAGTACTAGAAATATACAGAAATCACACAATAACTTAAGAAATACTTCAAACTAGGAATATATGTCTTTTCTATATATCACAGAGCATTTTAACCTGACGACTTATCATTTTAACATTCAAGCACAGATAATTCTGGACACACATGGATTTAAAGGCTCAAATTTCAACGGTGCACTGTGAACACTATTACTGATTAGCACAGCTAAAAACTCCAGTTTCTAAGGCTAAAGTTTGATCAGTCGAATAAATGGCGTATCTGTCCTTTTAAATTTGATCCCTCAATCCTTGATCTCCACGCCCTTGAATACTTCTCCAAAACTCCCTTTTGGAGAGTCCACATCGCTAGTAATTTTCATTTAGTAGTTAACTAACAATGTGTAATGAAAATTCAAATGCTACTTTAGATTATCTCCCCTTAGACCACTGCTTTCAATTATATCATCTATTTGAGTAAAATGACTTGATTTGTCTGTCTGATTATTTTTAGCTATCTTTTTGGTATTTTATTCATGTATTGGACAAATTTTGTTTATGCAGATCTTTATACTCGTTATAAGTTAAGAGGTTCTATTTGGGTCTTAAATTTCAACATGGACATGTTTTGTATATTTTTATAGGCCATGTTAATCAAGTTACTACCTATCTATGGAGTTGGTCAGATTATCAGTCTAATACACATGTGTTTATTGTATTCTCTGTATGCGTTTGAATATAAATGGTTCAATAAAGGTAGGTTAGATATGAATTCTTGACTCAATGGGGGCGCCAGCCTTCTGAAATGAAATGAAATGAATGGAGTTTTACGTCCTACTTTTCTGCACAATGTGGGCTAATGAAGACGGGCAACGCCATGTAGGGTGCAATGAGGGAAATTTGGCCAGGACAGCGGCATTAGCCTGCTCTTTTTTGAATTCCAACTGTCGAGGGATCTTTAACGTGCACAGCCTGTAGCACACAGGGCCTCGGTTTATTGTCCCATCCGAACGACTAGACACTTTTTCCATGTCAACCCCTCGTACCTGCATCACTGACAGGGGGAAACCGGGTTGAAAAATCTGAAGGTATTATCTCGACCTATGCCGGGATTGAACCCTGGACCTTCAGGTTAGCGAGCAAGCGTCTAACTCACTGAGCCACCGTGGCTCCCGCCAGCTTTCTGAGACTGTGGGTACAAATAGTGGGCAGACTAACTAAAATGGGGGACAATGTTGAGGTGAAATTCAAAATGCAGCAACTCTGTCGAGGCGTCACAGTCGCAAGTCTCTCTCTAAAGAAAATTTTTGAAATATTGAATTGATCTGGTGTATTCTGACACATATTTTGTTGCAAAGAATTTGTGAAAAAGTATAAAGTGGGGGTGCGAAACATTTTTGAAAGGGGGGGGGGGTTGTAAAACTTCATTTCATTTAGATCAGAAAATTAGGACTTAACTTGCTTTTATTGTTTTGTCTGCATTCTACTGTAGATGAGTAAATATATTATCAGATTTGACTTTATGTTATATTTCCAGGTGTCGAGGTTCATACGAGATTATCTCTAATTGAGAGAAACTGGGCGTATTTTACTGGCTTTGGGTTACCACTGGCTGTATTGACTACTTACGTTTCTTCCTCTATGATTGTCAGGTTAGTAGCATCTTTACATTGTCAAGATATTACCAACTTTGTCTAATACCTTGACACATTTCTTGTATTACATCTTCACAATATAAAGCTATGATGACAATCTTGACTGTAATAGCTACCTTTCTTGTAATACATCTTCACGATGTCAAGCTATTACAAACTGTGTCTTATACCTTGACTGCAATAGTATCA